GGGATATTAAGGGCATTGGAATAATTGATCAGCTGAAAGTAATTTAAAAGAAATTTCCAGATAGCCCCATTTTCTGGCTGTGGCATGGACACCCTTATTTATAGTTAGGTTTATTGTAACAATTAAGAAGAAAAAGCACAGATGAAAAATTTTAAAAATCTAAATTTGGGCCCTAAAAGAACCATGTGTAAAGTTGGGGCCAAAGGAGGTATGGCTGCTGAAGAGATTAGTGCCATTAAAAAGAAACCAAGAGCTTTCTTTGTACAGAGATGAGAAGAAAGATGCTTTGAGGACATGTCAGAAACCAGGAAGCCCCCACCAATCACAGGCTCAAGGATGCAAAACTAATTTTTCCTTTAAGGAGAGAATTTCAGGGACTGCTGCTTAAGAGGAACCAACATGGACAGTTGGTTTCTTGGGATTCATTTCTCTGTGCTCACCCAGCCACTCAGAGTCCACAGAAGTCATGGTCTAAAGGGACTTGGCTTTTGTTCTAGCTGATTGTGAAGTGGTAGAAAAGAAGTTTATAAGTACAGCTTAATAGGCATATTAATAGATGTGTTTGAAATATATGGTAAATTAAAAATTTTAAAATTTGTGTTAGTACACTTTTGCAGTACATAATGATTACACTCATTTTGGGAAATGTAACACATCTCTATTCTTTTTCTCCCTTTCCTTCAGCCCCTTTTATTTTTCCAGCCTCAGATTAATTTATCTTATAAATCCTTATAGTTATCATGCGTAGAAATTAATCAGACTGACAGGCAAAAAAATACCCATATAAAACACATAAGATAATTATGCTAAATAAAGGTGCACTTTTATTATTTATTTATTTACTTACTTATTTATGGTACAGGGGATTGAACTTGGGTCCTTGTGCTTGCAAGGCAGGCCATCGAACCACTGAGCTAAATGCCGGGCCCCAATGTGCACTTTTAGATATGTTCTCTATGTTTGATTATAATAACTTTCTCTCTTTTTTCCTATTGTCTCTCTTTTATTTTGTACTTTATACATTGAGTTTCTCATATAAGAGAAACCATGTGGTACTGAAGCTCTTCTGTATGACTTATCTCACTTAATGATATGGTCTCAAGGTGTTTCTCTTTCCCTACAAATGACTCAAACTTATCTTTCAGCAGAGTAGTACTCCATTGTGTGTGAATATCACATTTTCTTTATCCATTCATCTGTTGATAGACATATAGATTGCTTCTAAGATTTAGCTATTATGAATTGTGTTGTTATAAACATGGTTATGCATACATAACTGTGGCATGATTTCTTTAATTCTTTTGGGAAGATAAGTAGAAAGGGAAAAGCTGGGTCAAATGGAATTTCTAGTTGTAGGTTTTCAAGGAATCTCCATACTAATTTCCATAGTAGTTGTACTAGTTTACACTCCTACCAATAAGGAAGAAGGGTTCCTTTTCCCCCACAGCCTCTTCAACATTTGTTATTGGTTGCTTTCTTGATGGCAGTCATTCTTTCTAGAATGAGAAGGAATCTCGGTGTTTTAATTTGCATTTCTCAAATGGCCAGCAATGGTACAAATGGGCATTTGTACTTCTTCATCTGCGAAGTATTTATTCACTTCAGCTGCCCATTTTTTTTTTCTGGGAATCAAACTCAAGACCTTGTGCTTGTGAGGTAGGCACAGTGGATTCCAGGTCTGGATGCCCATTTTTTATTGGGTCTTTAAATTTGAAGGGTCTAACTTTTTTGAGTTCTTTATATATTTTAGATATTAGTCCTTTGTTTGAGGAGTAGCTGCAAGTTTTTTCCCATTCTCTAGATTGTTTTTTCACTCTGTTGGTGGTTTCCTTTGCTGTGCAGAAGCTTTTTAAATCAATGTGATTCCATTTGTTGGTTTTTGGTGTTATTTCTTCTGCAACTAGTGTTCTGTTCAGAAAGTCTTTGCCTTTGCCCATGTCTTCAATCGTTTTACCTATTTTGTCTTCCAGTGGATTGTTTCTGTTTAATAATTAGATCTTTGATCCATTTTGATTTCAGTTTAGTGCATGGTGAGAGATAGACATTTATGTTCAATCTGACATGTGAATAGCTGGTTTTCTCAGCACCATTTGTTAAAGAGGCTATTTTTTCTCTACTTAATCTTATTAACCTGTCTAGAACTATGCTGAGTATACCTAGGTGTCAATGGCTAGATAATAAGGTCAATACACAGTGGTCCAGTGGGGTTTTCCTGAGTTCCTGCCACATGGTGATAACACACAAAGCATTGCATATGACGAACAAAGCAAAAGTACTTGGTCCCTTTGTGAAAGATAACATAGCTTAGTGTGGCTGGAGTTGTTTGTACATCCTCTACCCTGCTCCATCGATCCACAAGTCTGTGTTTTTTTTTACATTACCATATTGTTTTTATCACTGTAGCTTTATGGTATACTCCCCATTCACTTTGAACACATGTTCCCACCATGCTTGCCACTTTCTGAAGCAGTTCTGGAAGTTTTATTTTGTGAGAATCTTTATGAGATGTCATAAAAATACAGTTAATGTGGCAGCTGCATGTCATCCAGTGGAAAGGCTGGCTCACATAAAGCCTCTCTACCTCATTGATGAGATTGGGCAAGATCCAGCTTCTGCCACTGCCTCAGAGTGAAAGTGACCATGAGAGGTAAAGTTTTGAATCGACTCAAGACAATGAGGTGGGCATGACAGTGCAAGTAAATTACTGTGGTAAGTTTTTAAACATTCACTATGCTTTTTAAATTACACTTCATACACCTAGCCACTCATTCAAAACAACTTACTTTTATTAAAAATAACGGATATGATTGTGAATTATGAGAACAAAGAAGAATGAGAAAAAAATTTAATGACTATAAAATATTGTTCTTGCTTTGAGGAATATAACTGATGGGTTGAAAGACAAGCTTTATTTGGGGGCAAAAACAATGAAGAATATTTTATAGTAAAACATATCCTGATTAAGCAGTGATGGCAAATTTTTCCACATGTAAAAAGTGGAGGGAATAGTATAATGAAGCTCAAATGTTCAATATAGAGCTTTGTTAGCTATCAACAGATCATAAACTTTATAAAGTGAAGTTATCCAGACACACAGAAAATACTATGTGAGTTCACTCACATGGGGTAAAATTCATAAAGACAGAAGGTATGAGATGATTGCCAGGGGCTGGGAGAGGGGTAGCCGGGGGTTGTTTCTAAAGTACAGAATTTTAGTGTTGCAGAATTAGAGTTCTAAAGATGGGTTACACAAAACTGTGGCTATATTTAATGATAGTGAACAGTATAATGAAATGCTTATGGAGGTAGATTTTATGTTACAAATTTTCACCACAAATAAAAATAAAACAGTAAATTTTAAATAATAGCATTGACTTAGTGTAAAAGTCATCATATTTAAAGGAGTTAACACTCTACTTAGCCTCATTAACCTATCTATCCTTAGGTGTCAATAACTAGATAATAATAAGCTCAAGAACACAGTGGCCCAGTGGGTTTTCTTGCCACATAGTGCTGACATGCAAAGCATTGCACATGGTGAACAAACAAAAAACACTGCTTCTAACATTGAACAGTGGCACTCACCAGAAATGAAACAGAGGCAATGCAAAACAGTCATTAATATTAAGGTCAATAGTTTTTTTGTGTGTTTTGCCTTTCACACTAGAATATAGAAGAATGCCTGTTGGATTTAAGGCTAGTTTTGCTGATAATTCAAAGTCAGAATTAATAGTATTATGGAAGAACAACAGCTGATTCCTTTCTGTACCATTAAATTCAACAGAATTGAGATAATTCCATGTTTGTGCAAGAAAAATAATTTGATTCTTGTGTCTATTTTGAGGTTAATGTGGTTGACATAAAGACATAATGTACCATTTTCCAAATCCATGTAATTACAGAAACATTACATGTAATAGCAAGACAGAGGAGGGAGAGGCTGTTTTTCCCCTCCCTAAAGTCTGAGCGAATAGAGCACAAGGATGAGGGCTGAGAGCAAAGGTGCAGCATGGGTCCTCAACACTGCCAGCAGGACTTGGACTAACCCTGAGTAGAGGGCAAGTTGCTGGTACTGGCAGTGGAGGAGGCAGCTCTAGCACAGGGACACACAACAAGGAAGCCAGGGGCTGGAGGCCAGGTGTGGTTGGGCATGAGCATGGGGCATGAGATGAGGAGCTCCATCCTGAGCCGCAGGTCTGGGACCTCAGCCAGTGCAAGGGCTCAGCAGATCTGTACAGGACACTGAGACAGTGCACCCTCTCTTCCCTGCTCTTCTCTTTGAAGCAGCCAGGCCAGGTTTCCAAGGAGCACTGTGAGTGCCAGGAACATGTGTGGCTGATTCTGGGCTCCAAGCTGGAGCATAAGGGGATGTCCTGGGGGCCAGGTGCATCATGTGCATCTCAAAGGCCTAAAGGTATACTTCTGAGCCCCACAGAAGGAAGCCAGCATTGTGAGTAGAGGGACTCAGAGGACCCAGCCAGGCTGCTGGATCTAGGAGTATACAGTCTTCAGAATGCTTTTTCATCAGGCACAATGACACCAGGCCAGCCTGCAGCCTCGAAGAATCCCATTGTAAGATGCTCAAGGGAGAATTTCCTGGCCATGTTCATGTAAGAGTCAGTGATGAAGGAAGAGGAAAGGGTCATCCAGATCACCAAATCCTAATGAACCTGGAGATGTTGACCTCGGTTCCTGTACCTGGCTTGGAGGGATCTCTGCTTAAACCTCTGCCACTATATTACCAAGGGATGCGGAATTTGGGTTTTCTCTGTCTCTGGACCAGTATTTTTCTGGAGGCAAAGGCCATGCTCTATGCATACTTAGTAAAACCAGGTTTATGATATGCTTTTAAGGATTCAAAAGATGGATGGAAGGATGGATGAAAGAAAGAAAGAAACAGGAGCAAAATCAACTCAAAACACACATAAACTGCCTTTGCGATAAGCAGTGTGCTTTTTTTCCACACATGCAGAACACTGTCTCTCTCTGTCCTCCCACCTTCACAGGGCCGCCCATCTCTGTACCAGCCTCCACAGGGCATCCTTCACGTCCTTGTTGCGCAGACTGTAGATGAGAGGGTTGAGCATCGGGATGACCAGGGTGTAGAAGATGGAAATAAACTTGCCCTTCTCCTTGTACTTCACAGCTCCTGGCTGCCCATATACAACAAACCCTGTTCCATAAAATAAGCACACTGCCAGCAGGTGGGAGCCACAGGTGGAGAAGACCTTGAATCTCCTGGAACCAGAGGGCATCCTGAGGATGGTCACTGTGATGTAGCCATAGGAAGTCAAGATCCCAATTGTTGCACCCAGCAGGATGAAGCCACAGATACTGAACATGACCAGCTCATTGAGAGCTGTGTCAGCACAGGCAAGTCTGAGCAATGGGAGCACATCACAGAAGAAGTGATCGATGCAGTTGGAGCTGCAGAAGGGCAGCTGGAGGGTGAGGGTGGTCTCCACAATGGAGTTGAGGCAGCCTCCAAAGTAGGAGCCCAGCACCAGGTGAGTACAGACCATGTAGCACATGGTCATGGGGTAACGCAGGGGGTTGCAAATGGCCATGAAGCGGTCATAGGCCATCACAGCCAAAAGTAAAGCCTCTGTAGTACCAAGAAGAGAAAAGAAAAACAACTGAGTGGCACAGGCTCTGAAGCTGATGACCCTGGAGGAGGAGAAGAAGTTGGCCAGGGCATTGGGGGCAATGACAGAGGAATAGCAGAGGTCCAGGAAGGACAGGTTCTTGAGGAAGAAGTACATGGGGGAGTGCAGGCGGGCATCCAGGGTGATGACTGTAATCATGGTGAGGTTGCCTATGACAGTTACCACATACAGGGCCAGGAAGAAGGCAAAGAGCAGGGCCTGTGTCTCCACATCTCCCCTGAATCCACCCAGTACAAAATCCTGAAAGGGCTTGGCTGAGAGGTTTCCATGTCTATCGGTCATCATGGCCCTGAGCTGGGACACCTGTGCAGAGAGGACGGTGATGCAGTGAGGGAGCTGGTCAGTCACACAGTCACACCTCATACAGCTCATGGGCTTATCATTGCATGCTGTCCACTGACCAAAGGGCAATCACCTGCCTGGTTCTCCTGCCCTCTGAGGTCTCCATCACTTGAGTATGTACTTAATTCATGAGTGTGTACTGACACCCAGGGCATGAACTGAGCTGTGCTCTGGGAATGAAATAGTTTTGCAGAGCTGAGGGACCCTTGGTGCAGGAAAGCACACACTGTCCATGCCTCAGTTCCTCACTCCATGGTTCAGAGTTGGAGAACCTGGGTCCTGTCCCCTGAAGGGTGGGTGCAGAGCAGTAAGCAGGGCTCCTGGGCTCATGCAAGGCTTCTGTCTTTCTCCCCTGAGGACCCTCAGCTAACAGTGACAGCTGTGGCTCTGATACTTGGCCACAGCAATGTTCAGCTGGCTAGAAACCACCACCTTGCTGATAATGGGGGCTTCCTGCCAACATCCAGATTCTGGCTATCTCACAGGGAGAGGACATCTGTGCCTCCTGGTTGGAGAGCAGCCGACAGTGTCTGACACACTCAGGAGATGCACCTAACCTGGCTTGGCCTCACTGCCATCTCTGTCCCCAGAGGACCATCTAGTTTGGGGACTCTGGGTAGACATTTGCTTTAAATTGGGAATCAAGTTTGGGATATTCTTGATCTTTTTCTCCTCTCTGTCCTTGTCATGCCACAGCCAAAGCCCTGGTCACTACATGGGCTCCATGAGCAACTCTACTGGTCACAGCAGGTTTCACAATGCTGTGCTGAGGACCCTGGCTGGGGAAGGAAGGGGGTCTGTCCTTGCTGCTGGAGGAGCCAGAAAGGGCCCTGGGCTTCATGGGTCAGAGGCTGTAGCTCCTCACCTGCCCAGGGTCCACCCTCACACATGCGGACATTGTGTCCATAGGGGCCCCTCTGTCTTCTGCAATCTTCTGAGCAGCCGACTTCCCCCTGTGAGCACAGTGACTACCAATGAACTATTTCTGTGGTTACTGCTTTGAAAATTTCTACACACACACACACACACACACACACACACACACACACACACACTGTTGGTTTTGCCACAAATTGTGCAAGCCACCTCTCTGTGATGAACTAAAAATACATGAAATGTCATCCTCAAACCAGGTCATTGACTGACACTGGGGGAGTGATAAGCAAGGACGTCTCAAGCCTAGAGCAGAGGCAGGGACATCCATAGGCACCAGCAGACCAGGCACTGCCCATGGGCTGAGGAGGACACCTGCTGCCCAGAGTGATCTCACTGTGCTGGGCTCCTGTTCTCACCTTTGGCTTTGCCCCTGTCATGAGCTGTGTGGTCCTGAGCCAGCAGTATTACCCTGGGCTGCAAGCTGCTTCCCACTCCCAGGCAGAACTGGAACCAAGATGACAGGGTGCACTAAGCATCTGTGTTAGGATTTCCTGTCACGGAGAGGCACCCAGGCACCACTTCTAGTGACTAGGAACGGAGGACAGGCCTGCCCCAGAGGGGAGTGCTCAGTGCTCACCATGCACACAGTACTGCTGTCTCTTATACCCAGGATCTACTCCCACATGTCTGACCTTGGCTGCATTCACCTTACCTTCTCTGGGTGAAAGTCAGAACTTCCCTAAGACCACAGAGCCACGCCTGGGCTCCCAGGGTGCCCTGCTCCTGACTTGCTCTTGCTGCAGACAATGAGGTGGATAAAGAAGACTCCTGGTTTGTTGGAAGTTTAGTTCTAGTTCTGGAGCAGGAAGTGATGGTTGTGGGGGCAGAGGTGGGCACCTAAGGTCTACTAACAACTTGGCTCTCCGTATCCTGGCTTCTGCTTCTTTGTGGAAGAGGGAGGGTGGGCTGCCCAGCTCTGCCTCCTGTTCCATCCCACCAGGCAGGTAGTGTATCGAGACACCTGTCCTTGAAGTCATGTTGCTGGGAGGGTTCTCTGAACCATGTAGCCCTGGGACTGGGAGCCTCCAGTGCCCAATTAGGGAGGCTCTGGACCTCTGTACTGCTCTGCACTCCAATTACCTGGGCTCTAGGAACTGCAGTGCTGTGGTCGATCTTCCCCTCCCATGGCGTGCCAGGAGGCCTGAGTTTCTCGGGGGCCCCAGGAGACAGCATGAGGAGAACAGCTTGGAAAGGCCTTGTGTTCATTGTTCCCAGTTAGACTGGTCACCCTGGGGCAGGGTGCAAGTGGGACATCCTGGCCCATAGCCTTCCCTCCTTGTTCTTCATTCTGACCATGTTGATGTGAGGAAGATGATGTGGGCAACAGCAAAGCCCACTCTACCCAGAATCAGTACACTATCAGCTCAGGCCACAGAACCTCAGCACAGTTACAAAGTTGGATAAGATCACCTCTAACACCACTTTCCAGTTTTTCCCACTTTTTTGTTGTAGAATGTCTGATCATCCCTGTCTCTCTCTGTAAACATAAAAACAAATATATATATTTGAATATCTGGCATGGTGGCACACACCTGTAATCCCAGCACTTGGGAGGCTGAGGCAGGAGGATCGCTGTGAGTTCAAGACCAGCCTGGGCTATATAGTGAGTTCCACATCAGTCTCAGCTACATAGTGAGACCCTGTCTCAAAACAAACAAACAAAAGAAAAATAAATATATATTTGAATGTTCAAGCAAGTAAGAAGGGGCCAAATGAAAAGAAAATGCTTTTCTCATACCCCAGAAATACCTCTTTTCTGAGTTCTAGTCTGTCCATTATCGTGTGCATGCCTGTGGACTTCTGGTGTCTCCGTGTAAACTCTGTGACCACGTTCACAAGTCTGCATTTGGATTTTTACTTGTCAGCAGATTATGGGGAACTTCTCGGTTGGTGCATGGGTTGGAATTGAATCACTTAATTGATTTCATTTTTAAAATTAATTTTATTGGTACATTTAAGATGGATAATATAATGACATTCATCATTGGAAATTTGTACATTTATATAATCCATTTTGGTTCTAATATTTTCCCCATTCCCCCATCCTCCCTTCAACTCTTCCACCCCTTTCTAATAAAAAGACTTTGTTTCCATTTTTTCTTTTTCTCATATTAATTCCATTCCCTCTTTCCTTTCCCCTACCCCTCTCATTTCCCCTTCCCCTTTGCACATTTTCTTCCTATTTCACATTATCTATTATAACTTTTAGTCCTTATTTACACTTTCAGTTTTTCACACTAGAGAAACTTCAGTATTTACACATATGTCCTATTTATTTCCATAAAAGTATCACCTCAATGTGCATCCATTTAGCTATAAATGTCTCTAGTTCCTCATTCTTTATGGCTGAGTAGTACTCCATTTTATTTTAAAAAACACACACACATTTTCTTTATCCAGTCTCCTGTTGGTGGGCATTTGGGCTGCTCCCAAGTATTAGCTATCATTAATTATGCTGCTATTAACATGTGTGCACATATATCACCATGGTATGATTCTTTCTAATTCTTTGGGGAAGATACTCAGCTGGGAGATAGCTGGGTTAAGTGGGACCTCCAATCTTAGTTCTTTGAGGTATCTGCATGCTGATTTCCACAGTGGTTGCCCCAGTCTGCACTCTCACCAGCAGTGGAGCAGGTTTCCTCTTTCCCTACAGCCCTGCTGACATTTGTTATTGGTTGATTTCATGATAGCAGCCATTCTTTCTGGGCTGAGGTGGAAACTGAGTGTTGTTTTCATTTACAGCTCTCAAATGACAGTGATGTTGAACATGTTTTCAAATGTTTATTTGTTATTTCAATATCTTTGTCTGAGAAATGTCTGTTCATTTCAGATGCCCATTTTTGGATTGGGTCTTTAAATTTGGGAGGTCTGGTTTTTTTAAGTTCTTTATATATTCTAGAGAGTAGATCTTTGTCTGAGGAACAGCTGGTGAAAAGTTTTTCCCACATTGTGGGTTGTTTCTCCTACTGTGCAGAAGCTTTTTAATAAGAAGTCATCCCACTTGTTGATTGTGCTACTTCACAGGCAACTGAGGTTTTGTTCATAAAATCTTTTCCTACACCAATGCCTTCAAGAGTTCTACCTAATCTCTTCCAGCCAGTTTAGTGTTTCTGTTTTAATATTTAGATCTTTAATCCATTTCAATTTTAGTTTAGTGCATGGTAAGAGATATAGGTCAACTTTTAATCTTTGGCAGGTTGAAACTCAGTTTTTCCAGAACTAATAAAGAGGATATCTTTCCTCCAGTGGGGATGTTTGACTCCTTTGTTGAAGATGAGGTGGCTGAGTGTGTCTGGGGTTGTCCCTGCATCCTCTAATCTGTTCCACTAGTCTTCAGGTCTGTGTCTTTTCCAGTATCATGCTGTTTTTACCACAGTAGCTTTATTTCAAGCTGGGCATTGTGATGCCCCCTACATTGTCTTTATTCCTAAATTAAATTGCTTTTGTTATTCTAGGTCTCTTCATGGTCCAAATGAATTTTTGGATTGTTTTCTCAAGGTCTGGGAAGTGTGCTGCTGGTATTTCAATTGGGGTTGCATTGAATCTATATAGCAGTTTTAGAAGTATGGCCATTTTCACTATGTTGATTCTTCCTACCCAGGAGCAAGGATGTCTTTCCATTTTCTGATAACCTCTTCCATCTCTTTTTTCAGAGTGCTGTAGTTTTCAGAGTAGAGGTCTTTGATTTCTTTTGTTAGGTTGATTCCTAGGTATTTCAATTTTTTGGATGCTGTTGTAAAAGGAATGTTTGCCCCATTTCTCTTTCAGTGAGTCTGTTTTTCATGCACAGGAAAGCTATTGACTTTTGTGTGTTGATCTTGTATCCAACTACTTTACTAAATTTGGTTATTAAGTCTAGAAGGCTTTTGGAGGAGTTTTTGGGGTCTTATATATAGAATATCATGTCATCTGAAGATAATGACAGTTTGACTTCTTCATTTCTTATGTTTATTCCTTTTCTTATATTTATTTCCTTCTCTTGTCTAATTGCTGTGGTTAAT